CTATTTACTATTCATATATCCTTTCAATCTAATTCGCGTACCAGGAAAGAAGATTTGTCGATCCTCCTAGATTCCTCCTAATGAATGTGCTCAGGTGAGACACGTCGTCCCAAATAAAAATTTTTAAGAGAGATGGTTGTGTTCGAAGGATATGTCGGTATACACTGAGAAGATGGAATTATCAAAATCCTTCAAAAAGATACTGTCTCAGGTGTTGTTATGTTTTTTGGAGAGGAGGAGGAGTGAGAGGTCTTTGTTGGCTATCCGATGAATTTTATTCCAACAGTTCTCTTTCCAAGATACTACTGATTTAGGAGTTTTGCTTGTCCTGTATTCACCCGCACCCCAGATTGACTTATAGTGAATCCTAGGTTCTTATGGAGCTGAGGAAATGCATTCAAACACGTGATGTGATTAATGGGAACTTGTTTACTTCTTTTACTAATGTGATCTCTATCTGTCCAATCACAGTGTGAGAAACTTTGTACTACTCAAAATTCAGGATCAAACTGAGGTAGGCAAAATTCCTTAGAAAAAATCCTGAACAAGCACTATGAGAAGCAGACAGATGATAAAAGAGTGGGGAAATTGTCTCTTATCAAATACAAAACTTCTGTGTTGTTTCTCTACAGCATGAGATGACGGCACATTAGTTCTTCTTCCTTTCAGAATTTTCTTGCCCTTGGTAGGAAAGGTGTTTCTTGACTTTCAAGTCACTAACGATCAAGTTTTTGCTTGAAAAGGAGTATTAAAAAGAAGGAAGGGAAGTAGTGATGACTCTTGAAGTTTTTTCAAGTTGGTTTAAAGAAAGTATCAAGATTTTATTAATATAGAAGTATGAAAACTTCTTGCGAATGTCTTTTTTGTGTGTGGTCAGAGGATCAGCGGAAAGAGTGTTGATAAAAATGGTTTGAAAATATAAATCTTAAATATCAAAAAAAAACAAAAAAATTAATTATATAAATTAATTAACTTAGTCAATAATTTTTAACTTTTGGTATAGATAATTGAAAAATAAATAAAAGCTATATCTCAATTAAAGTCTTGATAAAGGATCTACAATAGTTAATAGTTGAAAGGATATATGAATAGTAAATAGAGTAACAAATCATTTCCAAAATTGTATTTAGAGTTAAATTGACTAAAAGAAATACTTTAGTGATATATAGTATAGACACATTATAATATGTACAGTTTATAGCTAACCTAAACAGGGGATTAAAAAAATTTTTTTTTTAGTTATATATACTGTATTTTATTATATTGTATAAATTTATATATTACTAAAATCATTCAAAAGCTTTAAACAAAAAAATTATATTATATATATAGTATGTTTTTATAAATGCATTTATAGAAAATGCATTTGAACTAGTCAATTAACTTTTTGGTTAAAAACAAGAAAATAAGCATCTTTTAATAGCAATCTTGGTTATATTTGTAACACGTACGTACGTATTTATGCTATGTCGGACATTTTGAACAACTGGTCTGTATCTTTATAAATGGTGAAGACAAGTAACGTAAACCGCGATCTAGAAGATCGAAATGAGGAAGGAAGAAACATAAGGACAAACCGCGAAGGAGGTAATGCCCACTCAAAGGCTGGACGACGTGAAGGTGGAAGAGAAATACGTTCACGCGGCGAAGGAAGTAATGGTGGAAGAAGACGCGAAAGAAAATCAAAGGTATTGGGAAACTATTTTATCCAAGAATTCCAACTTGCAGCATTTTTTTTGAGACCATTATACTATGTTTCTTCTAGGATTCTTCAGGATACCTTACTACTCCAACTCCCGATCACCTCCCGAAATCTTTTTATCAGACACCTGTCATTCTTGAAAGAAGACCACAGTCAACTGTAATGACGACTACACAAATCGCGAGTAAACCGGCAGAGGCGAGTTCTAAACAAGTAACGAGTCAAATTGCTCCTAAAATAAATCATGACAACTCGATAAATGCCGTCTCTTCCGTAAGTGTTTCACGTGTAGAAGTAAAACAGACAACCATTCAAGGAGCCATGCGAGGAAAACCTTCTGATAGACCATTTATTAAAATGATTAATGAGAGGGGAATCTTCAACCAGGAATCTGTATTAAAGGTGAGGTATGATAAATATAAGTTTATTCCGTCAATTGATTCAAATTAAATGGTAAATTTCAAACAGATTTTGAGTGAACTTCCTGGTCATTTCGTTATTGGGGTATGTGGTCCTCAGGGATCTGGCAAATCTACCGTTGTTTCCGCTTTTTGTCAAGATCCTCAGAACGTAGGGATATTTAGGATGGCGTTTTTCGTTCAATGATTTTTAAAATTTTATATCGCTAACATCATTTAATCATAATTGGTTCAATTATGTTAGGCATTTTCTATTCAGTCAGTCGATGCGTTAAATTTTGCTAGTCACGAAACCATGGGTATTGACATTCATGTTACATCGGAAAGGATTATCATTCTAGACACGCAGGTAGGATTTTATACCTTTAAACATTTCGGCATGCTTCTTCCCGTTTACTCAAATAGTTTGCTATTATTAGCCTCTCTTTAGTTTGTCAGTTCTCGAGCACGCGATTAGGAACGATTATATTTCTGATAATATGTCACCCGAATTATGGCTCGAGTCGCAGGTAGGAATTTAACGATCGTTTTATACCACTTTACAACTTGATAAATATCCTTACATTGGACCATTTATAACTCAGTCGTTACAAGTTATCGTCTTTCTATATTCGGTTTGCAACGTTGTCATAACTGTCACCGAAAGTGCCGATTATTCAATGTGGAATTTTTTAAAGAAGGCGGAGATGATGAAATATCGCATACCAGAGTTTCCCACCGTGCCTTCCCTTATGTCAGCAGACACTGGTGCTGAGTATTATCCTGACATAGGTAGATAGGCTAATTTATATTACTTTGATCTTCCCTTTAAAAATTTATAAACTCATTTATTGATATTATAGTATTAGTATGTAATAAGTCCTCTCCGGCAGATTTTACCATCACCAAACATAAAGTTATAAGCAATATGTTGATGAAAATGTTTGAGGATTCGAATTTAAAAATTTTTGGTAGTATCGAATATTGTATTTTGAATTTAAATATACCAATTGTAATTAACCTTCGCTTTGTCCACTAGACACAGTTTCAATGTCAAAATCGTTTACAATGTATGAGCATGTTGGCGATCGATTACTTCCGAATTTATTTCTTTTGCCTTACGAGAATCAACCTCTTCGATCTAAGTCAGAAGGAATTGGATTAAATTATTTAAATGCACCTGACACGTTTCTTGTCATGGCAGAATCCTTGAGGAATCAAGTTTTTCAACTGCCGAAAAAAACTGGCAAAAAAGGTCAAATTTCCGAGAAGGAATGGTAAATTTAATTCAAAACGCTCTTTCGAATATAATAAGAATTTACAATTTTGATTTTTTCTTAAGGTTCAAAAGTTCAATGAAAATTTGGGATATTGTTCGCAAATCTGAATTTCTCTCAGAATATGGCAAACTTTCTCAAAAGATGAAAGAGATGTGATTTATAATTCCATCCGCATTGTGAATTCTTTAGTTGATTTTATTTAAATCAAATGAAATCTTACTGACGGCAAGGTAAGATCTGTTGATTTTAGGGTGACATATATGCAACAAGTTAAATAATATCATCCATTCGACTATTTAGAATAATTGCTAGCCCCGCCGGAATTTTGGCTTCAATTTCTCCTGGAAAACTTGAGCTCAACTGGATTTATAATTCGTTATTTGAGTTTAATATATAGGGGAATGCAGTAATTAGATTACAACCACCTCAAATCAACATCAACCTCCGTAGGTTATTGAACCCAAAATACAAGGCAACTTTCTACATTGGGAGCATATTCTTGTTCTGACTATATTTTGATCGTGCTATTCCCTTTAACATTTTCATTACGAGAATGTCACTACTTATGTAAATGTGCTTTAACCTTTTTTGCCTTTTTGTTCATTAAATATTTATTTGATTTTATTTATTTACATGTTGCATGGTTTGCAAATTTAGAAATATAATCTGAAAATCTTCACAAATGCGCGTGTGGTTTAGTGGTATAATTGCCGCCTGCCACGCGGCAGACCCGGGTTCAATTCCCGGCGCGCGCACGAAAATTATCGTTTTTTTTTTTTTTTTATTTTTTTTATTTATTGATTAACATATCGCATACACAGTGCAGTATATACTGTAAATACTGTATTTTATAAAGAATCAAGGTCATTGGTAGGATTCTTAATGCTATTTAATAAAATAAATTTTGTTGATATCCGTATTTGCATTTTATCCATAAGGAGATTATCAATTTATTAGAATTCAAATAACCTTGTGAAACGTTAAAGCATTTAATTTGTAAAATAAGTTATTTAATTTTATATATACGAATAAAATATTAAAAAATTAAATTTAAAGAATCCGAGTTCAGAACCGTTGGGATTTCACGGTTCAGATTTAATTAAAAAGCCCAAGGCCAGTTCACAACCGTCATTTTAGCATCATAATATGCATAATATTTCAATTAAATCTAATTAGATAAAACCTTTCATTAACGAAATTCGAAACTAAAAACTCATAAATAGTTGAAAATTCTTTTTAGATTACTAACCTCAAATATTTGATTCTCATTGAATGTTAAATATATGTATATAAAAACCGAAGAAATCTGTAAACTAATTGGGTTTCTATCTAATTAAAGTGGATGTTGCTAAGCAGCAAAATACCATAAGTCTGGTATCAAACATGCCAAGCATCATGTCATTCGAAAACGTGTCAACAGAGCCGAAAATTTCCAAATACAATCATGAAAAGTTGATTATCTTCTTTTTCGGTTTTACATTATCACGTGCAGAACGTGAATTTCTGTCTCCTTTTTTAAAATCATCCTTCTCCCCAACAAATATATGAAAGTCATCATCGTCTGCACCATGATGCAGATCTATCTTTCCTATAAATGAAGTTCCAACATCTTGATTCCCCCCCAAAAAGAGGCAAATAAAAATAAATTAGCATCGTGCATGCAATTTTTTAAAGTGAAGAAGCAATTGGAGGTTTTTTTACCTTCTTTCTTCAGGGTACAATCTTTCGCTAGGTGATCCACTTTCCCGCAGAATCTGCACCCACCACCCTTTGGGTATAATCCTTTGTCATTTTGGGGGCATTTTCCGGAAAGATGACCTTGCTCATTGCACACAAAACATTTTGCGTATTGATATTTATCCCCTAGATTCAATATATCATTAACGTGGAGAAATCCATTAGCATGTTGATTGCCATAGTGCTGACTAGTTAAAGAATCACCTTGTTTAATAGATTTTTTGCAGTCTTTAGTGGTGTGTTCGGGTGAACCGCAATTATAGCATACTCCTACACCTTTCTCTTTCGCTGATGGACAGTTAATGACACTGTGTCCGATTTTTCTGCATCCAAAACAAACCTACAAAAAAAATAATGCGATGACTATTATAGTTTAGGTATGACGTAAAAATATAAAGTTTCTGCATACAGTTTTATTCTGTCGCATCCGAATTCGTCTCAATCTGCGTTTCTCTGATCTTTCAGACTTTGTCAATATAACTTTGCGTTAAGTAAAATGATTGAACGTGAATTAAAGTTCAAACATTGATATTTTACGTATTAATCTTAACAGGAAGGAGTGTACTTTTTTTCTGTTTCTCGTTGGTTTTTATCTTCTTGTTTGACACCAAAAGATCTCTTCCTCGATTATCCGTAAATTCTTGCTTATCCTCGGATGCTCTCTTTCCTCCCTGACCTTCACCACCTTCCGACACTCTGTCGCCTTGTTCGGGTATAAGAGGCGTGACATTAAAGCCTCCGGCTTCTTCATATTTCTTTTTTAGTTTTGCATATCGCGTCATGGCTCGCAGGAGCTTCTCGTTATCAAGTCGAAAACTATTTATTGATATCACACGCGATCACATGACACTGTATGCGCAACCATAAAACCTCAAATTTTTGAATTCTCTTGGTCCGTAATTGAATAACTTTTTTTCTTGCCGAAAATGGATTACCAACGTCAACTATTAGAAGAGTTAATGGCTCCCTACGAAACTTCTTCAAAACATAGCTTTTGGGACGACGCCGTTTGCAAACATTTTTTGGTCAAGTTTTGTCCCAATTCCCTTTTCACCAATACAAAATCTGATCTTGGTATGAACCTGTTCCTTTGTTCACGTTCTTTAACAACTGCCTTTCTCTAACCTCATGCAATCTGCACCTGTGTTAGGGCCCTGTACAAAAATTCACGACGAAAAGCTCCGTCAACAGTTTGTATTTTATTTATTTTTTTTTTTTTCGGAAGACTTGAGGTGACAGGCGTAGCAAAATTTAAGCAACTTGCAATAGGTATCAAGAAGCACCGGACCACGCAAAATATGGATATGAGGCCAAATTCTATGATTATTTGCAAATGCTGTGTAATGACTTAGACAAAAAGATTCGGAAGGGAAACGATAGACTGAATGTCCGTCCAGATGATACTGTATGTACCCTTGTCGTTGTGTTCCGTAAACCCTTTACCATTCAATTGACGGAGTTCACGTTCTTCTTAGCTTTTGAATCCCAACAAGGACGAAAAGGAAGAAAAAATGATTATCTTGGACGAAAAGATTAAGGAGCTTTTAGTTAAGGTTGGTATATCGTCTCTTTTTCTCCGTCTTTTGATCACTTGAGGTTTACAATGGGTTTTGAACTTCCGCATATTTTTGTTTATAAGATTGAGGAGGCAGGAGAAGAAGGACGCGTTCAAGAAGCGCAAAGCCTGACCAAGGAAGTGGAAACGATTCAAAAGGACTTAGATTTCTTAAAAAACGTGAGTAAAAGTCGGAATATAGGCCACAAAACTTGAGTCAAGCGAAAGATTAGCTCGCAAGAAATAATTTAATGTGACCAGACCATCTGAGGTAACTCCATCGTACAGCATGTGGTTTTGAAGTAAAATAACGAAAACTTTGCTTTGAGGGCGACCAGAATGCTAACCTTGCAAATACAGCTTTTAGAATTTTTTTCATATTGAATGTTAATTCCAGCAGGAGACAAATTCAAATCGGTAGATTTTTACTTTTGTTTTCCTTGTCGACTAACCTTCTATTTCCAAATCAATTCCATGAAAACCAATTCTCCGGTCCATCCTTTCTGATTTGAATACTTAGAGCGACGATTCAAATCCGTTATTTAAACAAGAAAGAAGGATGTTGGTTTGTGAGGTGTGTGGAGCATTTCTGGTGACGAATGATACGTCCAACCGTATGGACGCTCATTTGCAAGGAAAGCAACATACGGGATACAAACAGATTCGTGAAACTCTCCATGAATGGAAGGTGAAGATTCGTTATTTTTTTTGTATTCCATCGCGTTTTCCTCGTAAAACTCAATTAGAAAACGTCATTCAGCAATCGCAAGTACATCAACCGTCTCGCGATGCGAGTCATCGTGACTATCGTCGAGATTCATATTCCCGACACGAACCTTATCCACGTAATCGCAGAGAAAAGCACAGAGACAGAGATTATCGACGTGATGAGAGAGACCATCAAGAAGACTACGGTCGGAGACGAAATAGTAGAGAAGCTCGACGTGATCGAGATGACAGAGGTCGGAGGTACTATGATGATCGAGTCCAGGTATTTAGATAAACATGTTTAGAAAAGCCAGTTATATATTGGATATAATCTGAGTGACAATATAATTGATACTAAATCATTAATCGAATATCAAGAACCAGTGACTTAAATAGACTGATTGTTAGCTTCATGACCGCAAAGAACGAAATCAATTATTATGACACGAGGTTCTTTTCTAAAATTTTTACTTCATTTATGATCTATGTAAAAAAGATTTAGATTGAGTGGCGAGATCAATATAATTTAGGTTGAATGGGAAAAGGCTTATGGATATAGTTTAAGCAATGAAATTATAAACATGATAATATGAATTTCCACTCGTCACGCACCGACGGTAGATTATACTATACAGTTGGAAAGAATTTATAATAACCCCTGTCTTCGCATTGTCCGTCGTTCTTCCAACTGTATAAAAGTAGACGACGTTTAATCTAACGTTGACAAAACTGCAAAAAAAAACAAATTAATCTTACCCATTTCTTTTTACATTCGCGAAACTGCAAAAAGAAAAGGTGGCATTTTTGTTTGTCATAATTATTCTCGTCCAAACATTTCATGGAAGCCAATGTTTCTTCTTGGCATGGATCCAGAAACTGTGAACTTTGTTTGTATTTGAAAGTCTTATGGATAAACAAAGAAGAATCGTCAGCCATTATTAAGGCGGAAAAATGCAATTCGCATTGTTTAAGTTCCGTTTGCAATTTAAAATTACGCACGCACGCACATTTTTGGTAGTGGCTTATCTTTTTCGAGTATAGCCCAATTTTGTGAATCGGTCGGTCATACATACACGCGTCATTTTTAAAAAGTTTTTTTTTTTTTATTCTCCTTTATCAGAAATATCTCCTTCTACCTCACCTTCAGTAGCATCAACGTTTGCAGTGAGAGATGCCGAAACCTTCGTAGGGGTTGGTAAAAAGTCCCCAAGAATATCCAAGATTTTGAGTCTGTCTATAATTTCAACTTGATTTGCAACGCCATCACCCAACATCCCTCCATATACACCTTCGACAAAACATCTTGAAATAAAAGGTACAAAACTTTGAGCGAACATGGCATTAAATCCGAGAAGTATTGTAATATCATGATTATGTTCGACAAGGGTATTCCCGTAATCTCTTAGTAAGTTGGTAATCAACAAGAGATTTTGCGAAAGTCGTTCACCTAGCACATAAAACAATGAAACAGGTGCCACCAAACGCAGGGAATTGAACGCCGATAAATAGGCGTTAGTCAAATAAGCAATAGGAGGGTAATCCAAAAGAATAACCAATGGTGTAAATGACGATGACGGAAGCGCTGATGTTGGAGATGTGTTTGATGGTGATTTTAAGTCCGAAAGGTTCATAGACTTCTTATCACCCACCATCCACGTTCCTGGTAGGTCAACATCATTAATGGCCTGTTGTAAATCATCACAAAACTCCTGAGTTCCGTCAGTAATCATTTTTGATATTATTCCGTTGACGGCCGTCTCAAGGTACCCGGTCACTAAATGTCTGAAGTCAATTCCCACTCGACCGAGTGACATACCACAGTACATGAGTTGGATTAGAATGGACGAGAGAGATGATGTATCCGAGATTAAAGGTGTAAACTCGGCAAGTGCAGAAGTCAACTGTTCGAGAACATGAATTGTATAATCTGAAAAAACGGTCGTTGCATGTATAGTATGTCTGCTCGACGAATGTTCATTTGACATCCATTGCGATGGCGGTGAAGGGATCGTGAAAGATGAATAAACAGGTGTCACTCCTGTGCCATCGTCCGAAAAGATGGATCTATATTGTGTGACAATGTCAAAGAAATGTTCCCTAAAAGTGTCAATATATTTCCTCAAATAGTGAACAGGATCCCTTTTTTCTTTCTCGAGTGATCTAATCAATGATTGCAGGTACGTGTCTCTGGAAAGCAAAAACACCAATTGTAACTCAGCTTCATCAAAAGCCTCCATACGTCTTAGATATCCAATTACTTTTAAACAACCTGGCAGTTTTATTTGTTGACTCAAGAGCGTGATAAGCTTCGATAACATTATCTGCGTCGTCTGTTTAACTTCTTGCTCGATATGCTTAATCAACGGAATCGCGGGATATTTTGAAATGAGACCAGTAACGTAACCAGATAGATCCATGGCCTCGGAATATAGTCCGCTTCGAACGCATATTTCCATTAATTGTGGAATTTCCAAGATTTCTAATAAACTGTCGTGCTGTTCTAATATTGTATTAATTTTGTTGCGTTGTTCTGATATCTGTGTCGTTTGCCGTGAAAAAGAGGTGCATACGTTCTCTAAGGATGGGATTGCGAATATTAATTCCGACAAATGAACACTCAAACTATCAAGAGATGAATCAATTTTCATTGAACAAGAATTCGCATGAATACACGATTTATACTCTCGAAAAGATAGTTCGGCCAACTCTTTTTGTATTTTTAACTCCTCATCTTTAACCAAGGTTGGCTCGTGTTTGAGAGATTCGAGGGAAAGTGAGGTGAGGCGATTAAGATAATCCTTGCTCCATTCCTTATTCACGGAAACTCTTTGCTGTGATGGTAAAGAGTCCGTTAAAAGGCTTAACAAGATTTCCTGCCCGCTTGTATCGGGCGTAGGTTTTTGATAAAAATGATCGTGTTCTATCGATGCATTTAAAATCGCGTCGGTCAGTGGAGTAGCGGTAACAATACCGGAAGCGTACGTTTCTGGTAAAGTCCCTGGATTTTCTATAAGTTGAGCATTTTGAGTTGTTGGAAATTCTTCCATGATCAAAGGAATTTTTAAATGTGTTTCGGTAATAATAGATTTTTTGCGACAACCTGATTGGTCAATTTACAATTACAATATAATAGACGGGTAGCACAGCATTAAAATCTGTCAAAATGTGTCGCATACCCTTACACTACGAATTTTATCAAATCCATCCCACAATAACAGCCTCTGCTAAATCGGATTAATTATATGGTTTTCTTTCCTTATTGATCCAAGATTTAACTTCCCTCCACACATTTTCAATCGGACTAAGGTCTAGTGGTTGCAGTGGCCACTTCATGGAAGTTCAGATTTGATTTCTTTTACGAGTTTGTATTTGTGAATTGATACACTGGGTGGACAAAAGTCTGCGTCCGAAATGATCAACGATGATATTTTCGAAATTTTTGCCTGAAGTTAAAATTCAATTGTGCAAAAAATTTGGCTGTAAGTATAAAATAGTTTATACTTTTAGAAAGCTGAAAACGGTAGTCAAATATAGTTAAAGTTTTTTCTTATCATAATGTCAAACATTCAAAAATCAAAAAAAAAGATTTTTAGTTAATAGCTTTTAAATATGGTGAAATAGTTGATCTTTTTAAAGGTGATTTTCATATAAAAAGATTGTAAAGATTTTAAATCAATCAAGAACAACAGTAATAAGTATGATTTATAGATATAAAAAAATTTGAAAAAGTCAAGATCATTTCATAATTAGGAAGGTCAAGAATAATGAGTATTTGTGCAATCAGGTATATAATTTTTTTTTTTTTTTTTATAACCTGTGGTCAGGTCAGTACTGTGTGTTTATTAATCATTAAGAAAACTGATAGAGATATATAGGGTAATTGCATTATGGCTAAATTAAAAATTTGTACTGACACACTCGTCAATGGTTTTCAATTCTCAAAAGAGCTTTAGCCTCTAAGTGTAACCTTGGGGATAATATTTTGTTTTGAACTAAGTTTTGGGTGATAACCCTCTTAACTTATCTATTATTGTCAACAGGTTGTCACTACTTATTATTCTTCAAGAAACTAAATTCAAGAAACTACAAAAGGGGAAAGGAAAAATAAAAGAAAAGAGGAATATCTAAAAATATGTAAATGTACTATATGAAAATGAAAAAGGAAAAAAATAAAATAAAAATATTTTATATTCTTCAAAAGACCACAGCTAAAAACATCTTCTCATTAGAATCAACCCTTCTAAAATTTTCTTTTTCTTTCTGACTATCTAAGAAACTTATCCATCCATATTCTTGATTATTTTCTTGTAACTGTCTGAGGTACTTATTGTCTATTCAAATTCAGTGTCTTGCTCAATGTTTTCTTTCTTTCAGTCTTGATTTTGTATCCACCCATATAGAAAAAGATAACTAACAGTAAACTCCAGATTCTTATATGGCTTTTTAGTCTTGTTAAGTAACTCCCAATATCTTCCAGCAGTTACACCTAGTTAAAGGAATTTTACTGATGTCATCTTGATTATGATATCATTACATAACATCTAGAGAAATACATTTTCAATTCTAGAGAAGAACAGTGTTTTATATTCCTCTGCTTTTTGGTTTTACAGCCTGACCGGAATAAGAAAATAACCTTCTTTATGTACTTTATCTGATCAGAATGATAAGAAGTTGAAGACCTCAGTTTAAACAATCTTTTATAAGTCTCATTTAACAAATTTCATCTTAAAATTTAACATACTAAGATTTGATAGATCTTGATAAATTTCATTAGAATTTTGTGATCCACATCTGGAAGATGTTTTCATAGAACAATAGTTGTATATATTGTAAAAAAATTTCTTTACTGATTGGTAATAAAGTTTAAAAATCCTTCGACACTATTTACTTTTCTCAGAATTTAGCCAATATTTGATGGCACTTGAAAATTTTTCATCATTGATTGTATTTTATTCAATAAATTATTCATCAATATTCCTTCTTCAATCTATATTTGTTTAATGAGACATTTATCAATACCTAAGAAAAAACAGTGTATAAAATCGATAACTAAATATCAAATTGGATCAAAATAATATAGGCAAAGGAATTCAGACCATCTGACATAATTCTCATTGACAAAATATTTTTGTGCTACATTCAACTTACAGCATTTCTATTCAATAGAATCTCATTTATATATCGTCAAATTTCTCAGTATAAACCATTCATTTATATTCTTCATATCATTAAAATTATAATGATTATTTTCGTAATTGACATTTTTCTTGCAATGATAATATGACACTAGTGTCGAAATGTATCCACACACTTTTTATGCAGCAGAAATATCACATGAAATTAAAATTAAGGCTACCTGAATTATTTTTTTCTCTTCATTTTCAACAATTGAATCAAGTTTTATTTCTTACCATAGTTACATTAATTTATCGACAATTGGATAAAGATAATGGTTTATTTGGTGTAAACTTGATTCACTAGGACCTGATAATATGCCAATAATCAACATATTTTCATGTTTAAATCATAATTCACATAGAAAATTTGTGATAGCTGCATATATAACTCCAGTACTATATACTTTATTATTGAATAATTGAAGCCAGTCGATATTTAGCACCAATCCCAAATGCAAATCAGTTATCTCTTTGTTAAAAATAATTCTGGGTTTTTATCTTTAAAAGTTTTTCAAATATTACCATCATAGATATTATATTGAAGTTTATTAATACTTGATCAATTTACCTAATACTGAAAACTAGATTCTAAATTTGAATTTTAATATATTTGCAACAATTAATATCAAATAGTGGAATATGGAAAAATTAAATTGGACTAATTAATTACATTTTTGTTTAATAATTCTAATTGTGTAGATAGTAAAGAATCATAAGTTTTTCTTTGTTTTATTGCTGAATTGGGAAATTCAATATAAACACACTTCATAATCGATAGCTAAATTGTTTTTTTGAAAACCAAAAACATTATCCTGTTTATATAATTTGTGATATCTTTGACATACCACAAAACTAATAAACTGATTTGATAATCCTAGTTTATTGTTGACGATATACAAAGATTCACAAAAGAGCTTAAATTCTTTGCCACCAATTTTATAAATTTTAATAGTATATCTATTGCACTATTCAATAAATTAAATTGAATTCTATAGCTCATAATCTACAGCAAAATCTATATAAAATGACTATCTGAAAATTTGCTAGAATTCAGTGAAAATTCATATTTTAATGCCAAATAATCTTCAAATATATTATATATTTCTTCATTATCATCAATTTCAGATTCATCATTTTTAGACCTTGTATTATTCAATCTCAGATTTTATTGATTGTTACTTAATGACATAACTCGACTTGATGAAATATTTCTTATTCTGTAGCAAAATATGAATTCTTCATTTGTCAAATATTTGCCTTTTGTTTTTCAATATCTATACAAAAATTCTGCTTGTGGATCAATAAGTGATTCATTGCATTTACTACAGTTATAAGTAATTTTTACTTTTTAGGATTTTTTCTTAAACTTTTGTTTAGTAAAACTAAAATTGACTATTTTCTTAATATTTTGAAAATTGACAAATAGTAATATAAAGTGGCAAAGTTGTGATTGATATATTAAATAGCTTTAAATTATAATATAATACAAGCATATTATGATGAATAATATCAGAAAATTTTTTTAATGAAGATCTCCAGAAATCTCCATCTGTTAAAAATTTTCAAAAATTTGTACAACAAAAATAATTTTATTAATTTTAATAATAAAAAAATTCGAAGATTTTTTATTTCAAAAAACTTCATAAATATTTAAAGTAATAATATATATATTAAATAAAATTGACCAATAAAATATTGATTAATTTAATCAATTAAAAATTTAATTTATAAGTTATCATAATTTTATTAATATGATTTCAATATTATTTCATTTTTAAAGCTATAAAGTAATTTTTGAAAGGTGACGAAGAATTGCATGTGGTCATAATATGACATAACTTCTTGGGATTTGTGTTATATAAGGTTTCTAAAGTTCTTTCTTTTTTATTAATGTCAAATAAAAGAAAAGAAATGCGTAGCATATTTAAACAAATGATTTCAGGTTCAAGTTCTGGAAAATAACAAGAAAATACTTCGAAGTTCTCTAAAAAGCTCAAGAGTACTTCTGGTATCCAAAGTTAAGCTGAAGAACGAAAACCTACAACTCATGCCAAAACAGAAACATAGCCATTCCAGAAGCAATTAAAATCCTCCAGTTATTTTTAAGAATCTTCATCTACTAGGAGGTTGCCTGAAAAATCTTTAGGTATATTAAAAAAGATTTAACTATTTAAATAAATATCAATTCATATATTTAGTTTCTAATATAGTAATTGAGAGGCTTTTGGAGTTCTATGAAAGTTTTTATAAAAAAATTGATCAATTATTAGAACATCAAAAAGCCATTAAGGATAAGGTTACCCATCTAGAAAATAAAATTCACACAAGTCAACATTTAATCTCCAAACAGAATTTTATCGAGATAAGGTTTAATTTTTAATCTTTGAAGAATTTCAATAATATTTTAAATTCTATAATAGCATGCAGTCAAGAGTATCACAAAAGAAGTCTTTTTTGAAAAAATTTATGTAAATTCTGAAGATTTTTGCCAGTATACAGAGAAATATTTTTAGTGAGAACATTTAGAGTTCTTCAAAAGTCTTACAAGAAAACATTGGAAAACATATTATGAAAAGCATATTCACCAAGTAGTAATTATTGCAACTGTTAATAATATAAATTAATTTATTAACAATATTATTTATTTAATAGCTTTTGCGACAGCATAGATCTCTTCAAAGGATCACGGCTTCAAAAATCTGGGATTTCATGTTTTCAGTCTTTGGCAAGAACTTCCTGGATACAATCAATATAAATGCAACTGCTACCGAAATTACGGCCTAAAAAAATTTGTAAAAAACCCTGAAGTGCTTCGAAAATCTTCATGTCTGTCCTAGAGGGGAAAATCAAAGTGTGATGACACGCATTCTCAAAAAAGTCTGATCAAAAGGGGATACCTCTGAGGAACAAGTTGCATTTGCTATCACAATATGCTAAACAATTCTAAATCCATATAATGAAAGTATTTTAATTAATGAAGCATTAATTAAAAGCAAAATAGAAAAAAATAAGGTAAGTTTTAAACATCTTCAAAGTTTTATAGTTATTTGTATACTAATAAAATATTTTAGAAAAAAATTAAAAAGAAAATTAGATTTATAGAAGGCAGTTTAAGCAATGAAGATCAAGAAATGTATGAGCATGAAGATATTGAATTTCAAAATACTCTGGAGGAAATAGAAAATAATGAAAACAATCTGGGATTGCAACCAGAAAATATAAAAATAGAAAGGTCTACTTCGGCAATAAGTGATATAAATATAATCGATTAATAAAAATATATAAAAAAAGTAATTTTCAATAAATAAATTTTTAAAAATAAATATTTTAATAATAATGCAAAATTATTTTATTACAATTTAAATAATTCAAAAATCTCTGGAGTTATATATATAAATCTTTGCTCTGGAGACTTCTAATGACAATAGAACATCTCCAGAGTTTTATACCTGAAAACTTCTGGAAATCTTTACCAAAAAAATTTCCTAATAAATATATAGTATAATATAGTATAATAACTCTGAATTGTAATATAATATAACAAATAATAGTATAATATTGTATGCAACCTCAAATTATATTAAAACAATATGAATAATTTTATTTAAATATCTCTTTAATTTAATATTTTTTTTTGATACCTAAAATATCTGAACAAAAAAAATCAACTGAACATACTTTTTATAGAGAACAGCCACCTTCCCCTTCACAACTTTCACAACCTTTCCTGCCATCGCAAACTTCTTTCACATCAACTATATCAGAAGTGGCAATAGTTTGTTCAGTAACACCTGGTGCTGAATCTTCAATCCCTACTATGACTGTCAAATTGCTTAGGAGAAGGCCATCTATTGTATTACTTAAAATATTAATATCTGAAGTTGTGTGAATATTAATGTCAGAAGTTGAATTGTTATCTGAAACTCGAATTAAGAAGGATATTGAAAAAAGTTAGAATTAAATTATTGTCAAATTATTAAAATTTACCTTTATTAATCAACCAATTTATTTAGAAAATAGAGAATTACATGTACAGGTCGAAACACTAGAAAGAAAAAATGCTGAATTTGTAAAACAATTAGACCTAATAAAATATATTAACAACAAGTTTTCTAAAGAATCAAAACAACAAAAAAATGAAATAGAAGATTTAAAAAAGGGAATTGATTGACTCAAATCTGTGAAACCTGAATTTGATCTTATAGTAGTTGTAGAATCTAGAGCAGCCGATATATCAGAATCTGAAAGTTTGCCAAGTTTAGGAAAACACCGAAGAATTCAATCTAGTAAAGAGGCAAAACTGGTAAAACCAGTTATTGAATACAGTTGCTTCCAAAAGTTTGAGTTCACTTACTATGTTTTTATTATAAATTTCAACTTTGACAATTTCTAAATCCTTAACTATACAGTAAAAAATTATAAAATTTATATATGTTATGTCTTAATACTTATTTTATTTCTCATATTTTTTTAAAAAAATTTTTATTAATATATTCTAAAGTTTTATTATTGTTAAATATTTTTATTTTTTTATTAATTATCATATTATTTATGATAACAGCCAATCAAAATTCTCCAAAGGTAAAAATTTAATAAAGAAAAAAAATTTTTAACAATAATAAAACTTTAAAAATTACATACCAAAAATTTTTGAAAAAAATATTATAAATAAAACTAGTATTAAGATATAATATATATAAATTTTATAATTTTTGGTTATATAATTAAGAATTTAAAAATTGCCAAAGTTAAAATTTATAATAAAAACATAATAAGTGGACTCAAACTTTTGGAAGCAAATATATGTAAAATAACAATATCAAATCTCAAGATTATTTTTAAAAAACAATTAAAAATATAATTTGTACTAACTGAAATCTTAAAACTTCTTTTCAAAACAATAAAATAAATTATATAGATATAGAAACTTAAAAAGAAAACTATTATTAAGAAAAATATTAAAGAAGAAATATATTAAAATTATTTAATAGAAATATTTTAGTACAACTTTGAATCCAAAAAAAGCCAACTTTCTACTCTGATAGATTGTTTTATTAATTATGAAAGAGAAAAAATAAAAATAATAAAAATAGATTCAAATAGGAACAGGAAATAAAAAAAGTAAGTTCTATATAAAAATAAATAATTGGTTCTAATTTACAAGAACAAAATTGATAATAATTATAATCATATTTTTAATAGTTCCTATTAATAGTATTATTGAAATTTGCACAAATAGTTAGGCTTGTATATTTAAATAAAAGATGATTAAAAAAAAAATTTTTAAGAAAAACTTATAAAAAATAGCTAATAAAAAAAATGTTCTTTTGAATATAAATTTTAAGTTAATTCAAAAGAAAAATATAGATCAAAAGCTTAATAAAATCAAGGATATACAGTATCAATAATTTTTATAATAAAGAAGCAATTGCTTTAGTTAAAAAAAACTTTAAAACTTTTATTGATTAAATGAAACAATTTCAACTAATATAAGATTATTATAAAAATAAAATAATAAAATATAATTATAGCCTATAAATGGACACAACAAAGCAAAATAGAAAAAAAAAAATAAAGTTATCAAATTTCAAATTAACAAGTTTATATATAAGATTTGATATGGAAGGAAATAAAAATTGGATATATAGGATATATTTTTTAGACAATTTTAATAAAAAAGCTTTTTCATTAAATGAATTATAAGAAAAAAAAAATTTGAAAAGAAAAATATTAGACTGATTATAAATAATTATAAATAATTAGTGAGCTAAACAAATAAATCTTTGGATTAGTTGAACAGATTTCAAAAACTAATTAAGATATTCTAAGTTTTTATATTAATCTTATAAAAAATAATTTTATTTAGAAAGTAGTAGATTTAAAATACTATAGAAATAAATAGAAAAAAAAAACAAGAAAATAAATATTAAAAATATAAAAAGAGTCTATAACCAAGTTCAAAAATTTTTTTGAAACATAAGATATAAAAAAATAATAAAATAGGACAAATATAAAATATTTATAAAGAAGACAAAATCAAAAGATTTTAATATTTTCCAAGTCTGAAAATCCATTAATAGAAAAAGAAAGCTTAGAAGATAAAAATCTTAAGAAGATTTTAATAAAAAAAGTTAAATATAAAATAAAATATTTGAAATTTAAGTTTTATAAAAATCTTATAAAGTAATTTGAAATAGTAATCTATAGATTATAAAGTTAATAGTTGAAAGAATTTTTATTTGAACTACTAACAGAACAATAAATAACTCTTAAAGTTGCACTTAAAGCTTTAAAAAATTTATAAAACAAAAATATATAAATTAGATAAAGATTTAGCTTTAGCAAAATATTTCAAATGTAATAATAAAATACATATATCTAACCTGACTAATTGTTTAAAAAAAAAAAAAGATTAGATATTCACTTAATATCTCATGATTGTGAATTATTATTTTTTTTTTATAATCAAACTTAGAGATTACTATATACAGTATATTATACATTGTACTAAGTCACTATATAATTGATTAAATTATAATTAGAATTTTGGCCGGCACTAGGAGATATCAAAACATAAAGCTAATAAAATTTACAGTAATAGTTGTATTACAGAGCAGAGTGATCGTCATATTATTTATTCATTTATATGTTTTAAGGTTGTTATTACAAACTCGTCAAACGAAAGTTATATTCTTTCTTCATTGTCTTAATAGCTGACATACCTGAAGATTTTATTAAGATTTTATTTTAGGCTTGAGTTAGCTAAAAAAAAGTAATCCCCAAAAAAGTTTTTCCGACCGTTACAGATACAAAATGTCTACACCCTCCAGTAATATCAATCAATCTCTCTCAGCGTATGAGGTCGGTTGGGCTTTCGTCCGAGATTATTACAAATACTTTCATGAAAATCCAGAAATTTTGCATCGATTTTATGATGAACGATCTAGTCTTGTTCGTGGTTTGGAAGGCGAGGAAGTAAAAATTTGTCAAGGCTTACAGGTAACTTTCGTTTTCGAATCTTTTAATTCTGTGTATACTTTGAAGATGCATTCTTCGTATAGAGTTTATCACATAATTGTACGACACTTTATCATTTTTGTCGCCTAAAACTAATTCAAATATAAATTTGGGCCATTAAGTCATATTTATGATATACCGAACTTACCTTTACTTATATATTTCAGGCGATCAAAAAAAGTATAGCCGATATGCACCTAAAAGATGCTAGTGTAGACATTAGTAACATTGACAGTCTAGATTCTTCTGACAACAAAGTGATAGTGCAAGTTATTGGTCAGTTTACCAACAATGGTCAAACTAGTAAATTCGTCCAAACCATTAATCTTGCTACACAGCGAAACGGTTATTATGTACAAAGCGACATATTTCGATATTTGAAGGATGAAACTGACAGTGTCAACAAGTCTCACCCAATAGATCAGGAACCTACGTATAATGAGGATATTACATCTTCAATAACTGAAGAAAAATTTAACGAGGATTCAGTTTCTACCATGTCGACGGGTACCCTTGCCGAAGAACCTACACAAGAGATAACTCTGGAAATTCAGTCAAGAACTGGTACATCCCAATCTTCAACGAAGTCACCAATTGAGGGCATGACCAGTCCTGTTGTAGAAGCAGTAGTACCTGATATTGGAACAAAAGAACCTGTTCCGATTGATAGGGGAAACCCGATCACTGTGATAACGGAAAAGAATTCTACCATTTCAAACACAACGACACAGTTGACATCACCTACACAATCGCCATCAAAAATTTCATATTCTAATGTTGCTGCCAGTGATAGCGGTAAATGGGGTCAACATATCCCCGAGCAGAAAGGACGAGTTGTTCCACAAGCATTACCACGGACACAGTCTCAGACATCAAATCGAGATCAAAGAAATAAGGGTAATGAAACGTTCCTTGTGTTTGAAACCTTCGTTTTCCGGCATCATACTAAATTACTTTCTTTATGCAGAATTATCATTATATGTCAAAGGAATTAGTCCCCACATGAATCAGGAGAAGCTTTACGAGGCATTCGAGCCTTTTGGGCAGGTGAAAAGATTAGATATCGTTGCACACTATCAAAAGGTGAATAATAGATTTTAATTATTATATATCGGAATCATCTTTTTTTCCTCGAAATTTAAGTGAACCAACTTTTTTATTATGAATTTATAAGCCATATGCATTTGTGGAATTCAGTTCGCTTGATGCATATCAAAAAGCTCTCTCAGCGAAGAGAATTCAAGTTCCCGGTCTTACTGAAGTTACCGTCGAAGAAAGGACTCATCATAGTAATGAGGGCCGATGGCAACGACAATACAATAATTATTCACGTAATTTTAATCAACCCTCACAAAATCCTCATAACGGCATGAGTGGGCAACGTGGAAATCGTGGGAGTGAGAGACGTAATACGACTTCTCGTCCGGCCAAATCTCCATCTTGACGAAAAGTTGATTAAGCTTGCAAAGTCTATATATTCACGGCTCGACTTTCTTCTATCAATTTATTAGTTTGAACAGTTCAATCACTTGATATACATATATATAATTTCTTAATTCAATAGGTTCTGGACAAGAGACAAGTCTAGTGGAAGTTGAAATAATACTTTTTTTTTTTGGCTTGAAGTTTTTGTATATAAATATGTTAGTGTTTTATATTACATTAATTTTAATATTCATAAATGATAAAAAGTACCAGCTAATACATAAACTTAATTGGTCAGATAAAGATTAAAACTAAACAAAGCCAAGCAATTAGTTGTTGTAATTGCTGCGGGTAATAAGGTTATTGGCGGAAAATTCTATGTACGTACATACGTGCGACTATTATGTACATGCTTTCGAACGGATTGGTCGTTTTTCTAATAGAAATTACTGGTTACACCGGTTACGTACGTAACTTTTTCATTCATAATTACCATAACAAATTCTTTGATTTATTACCATTCCTTCCGTTATCTCGTCGCCAACTGCTCGTAAAAAGTTATAAAAGCCTTTGCATTGAGAGCAAAGAAATCGTACAAACGTACACGAAAACTCCCCAAGAAATGAGTACTAGCACCAGCAATAACGCAGGCGAAGAGAAGAAGGTTACTCTGAAAAGCTGCGACGATGTTGAGTTCAAAGTCGACATACCTGTTGCTAGTCGTTCCATCTTGCTCAAGAATATGATTGAAGGTACATTTTCTTTTTGCCTCATACGAATCTTTGTTGGCTCATTTAATAAGAAAAAATATTTCGGAATGTAAACGGAATCATAATTTTTGCCTTCCCTGCTCAATAACTGATTACTCAGAGTTCATTTTTCGCGTTTTTATCAAAAATCTAACGCGTTTCTACACATTATTAAGACGTCGGAGAGACCGATCAATCAATTCCTCTTCCAAACGTCAATGAAAAAGTGTTAAGGAAGGCATGTCGTAATTATTAAAATTAATTAAATGGTGCGATATAAATAAATTTGTAAACCTAACTAGCAAATTGTTTGAAAATAGGTCCTCGAATGGTGTACGCATCATGTTAATGATCCTCAACCTACTAATGATGATGATGATTCTCGCAGGAGAAACACTGAAATTGATGATTGGGACCAAAGATTCCTAAATGTTGAGCAGGACATGCTCTTTGAGATCATTCTGGTTTGCATTCTTTGAAAGAGTTTATTATTTCAATTAACAAATGATTTATTTTTTTTAAAAAAAATTCTTTTCTTTCCCGTTCAGGCTGCGAACTATTTGGACATCAAGCCATTATTGTACGAATTTCTCCATTTTATTTATGTTCACTGGTTACGATTCTAAAACTTTCTTCGCTATTCTTATTAATAGGGATATTGGTTGTAAGACCGTTGCCAACATGATCAAAGGAAAATCTCCTGAGGAAATTCGTGCCACATTCAACATAGTCAACGATTTTACTCCCGAGGAAGAAGAGCAAATTCGCAAGGAGAATGAATGGGCTGAAGATCGATAAATTGTTGTAGTTGGGCAATTGATCTCATTACCTTAACCTACGGTTTAAAGGTTTCCGAGTGGAGACAAAATTATATATATCATGACTTTTATATCTTTATTTTTCTGCCTACTTTAATTGTTGATAAAACGCGCTTCTTTTTTCTTTACAATTTTCTACGAATAGATAAATTGAGCTGAAATAACTGATGTGTCGGTGTAGTTGTGTAGTTACTTATATTTAGTAGTACCAGGTTCGATAGAAATTTTCATATTGAAAATTTCTCATTTACTCTCATAAAATTATATTTCTGTAGATGAAACATTTCTAAAAAATAATAATGCGCATAACTTGTAATCATGCTATGAAAGGGCATAAAGTAAATTGTACTTTTGTTTAAATGATAATGCGCCGTCCGGGAATCGAACCCGGGGCTAAAGCTTGGGAAGCTTCAATTCTACCACTGTACTAACGGCGCAATTTTTTATATGAAATTATTATTATATTCTTTTTCTTTGTTTAGGTAAATTAATTTCAAAAACAATTTCGCCTTATTAAAAATATAAAAAGTTTTTTTATTTTAAATTACGAATATTATAATATAAATCAATTATTATATTAAACTTTTGCTAATTACAATATATTACTATTAAGACATTAAATAAATATTTATAAAATTATATAGATTTATATATAATAGTTAACTTAATAATAATATATATATTTTTTAGAACCCTTAGTCAGGCTAAGTATATATACTTTATTAAACATTTGTATGCTTTACATTTAAAATGCTTTGCTAAAGTTAAATCTCTACCTAACTCACTTATCTCTGTTTTATAAATTTTCTAAAACTCCAAATACAACTTTGGAAATGATTTATTACTCTATTAGTAGTTTAAATAAAAATTCTTTCAACTACTACTTCATAGTCTACAGATTACTACTATAAAATACTTTGTGAGGTTCTGACTAGGCTTAAAATCCTAACTATTTCATTTCATATTCTATCCTTTTTGTCAAAATCTTTATAAGATTTCTATCTTCTAAGTGTTCTTCCATTAATATTTTTCTTTTTATCAGAAATATAATTTTCTGACTTAGAGAATATTAAGGTCTCCTGATTTTGTTTTTTCTACAGATCCCCTGTATATGCTTCCATTCAATTATTTTCTCATATCTTGTGTTCTAAATTCTTTTTTAAACTTAATTATAAATTCTTTTTTGCATTTTTAATATTCATCTTCTTGCTTCTTTTTCTATTTGTTTTCCATAATATTTTAGAGCTACTATTTGTGAAATGAGATTACTTTTTATAAGGTCAGTACAAAGCTTAAGGTATCTTGACTAGTTTTTGATTTTTGTTTTACTAATTCTGAAATCAATTTATCTAGCTTTTCAGTTCTTCTTAATTATCGATAATTAGTTTGAAGTTTTTTTTTTAACTTTATTTTTTCTTTTTTACAAAAGTCTTTTGAAGTCTTTAAGAGTTTTATCTATTTCTTTTTTCATATCTCTTATATTTAATTCTTATAGGCTAAGCATTTTAGCAAATGTTCCATTGTTTTATATTGATCGCTATATACTATATAATATAATTTATTTGTTTATATAGATTAGATCTTTTAGTAATTAGTTTGTTTAAGATTGATAATTCATTATTAATCAATTTAATGAGAAAACTTCTTTGTTTAGATTGTTTAAAAAATATATCTCAAGTACGTCTATCTTTTGTTTTTTTCTATATTAGATTTTATATATAATCTTATTTATCTGAAATTTGGTGATATTATTTTTTCTCTATTCTGTTTTATTATATCTATCGATAGGCAGTTGTTTTGTTATTAACATTCTTAATAAACTATTTTATTGAATTATCTATAATTATATTTTATTACTTAATTTCTGTGAGAATTTTATATAAGGTAAAATTTTTCTATTTGATTGGTAGAAGTTTTAAGGCTTCTTTGATTAGAATATCTATTTCTTTATTAAAATGATCTTTTATATGTTTCTTGACTTTAATAAACTTTAAATCTATATTTTTTTTAAAAATTAATTCATTTATTTGTATTTAAAGGGATCAGTTTTTCTTTTTTAATTACTTTTTATAAGTTTTTCTTGAATTCTCTTTTTTAATTATTTTTTATTTGAATATAAATACCTGACTATTTATATAAATTTCAACAGTACTATTAATTGAGACTACTATAAGTTATACTATAGTTATAATTACTACCAACTCTGCTTTTATAAATGAAAATCAATTGGTTACTTTTATTTGAAACTTACTTTTTTTATCTCTTATTTCTATCTAAATCTATACTATCCATTCTTTTTTTTTTTTCTATGATTAATAAATAAGTAATCCATCAAAATAAAAGGTTAGCTTTTCTTTGAATTCAAAATTACATTGAAGTATATTAATTAGATGGTTTTGATATATTCCTTCTTTAATATTTTTCTTAGTAATGATTTTTTTTCAAGTTTCTATATCTATATAATCTACTTTATTATTTTGGAAGTTACTTTAAAGAAGTTTAGATCAATATAGATCAGGGTTTGATTTTCTTTTCTAGAGAAGTTTTGGGATTTAAAATTATCACTTCTCACATTTTTCTAGTAGACTTTCTTGTGTTAAGATATAGTACAATATATAGCTTTTTTAAATTTTTTTTTATAATATAGCTATTATCTTATATTATTTTTTTTGAGCATACAAAACAACTTTATAACTCAATCATATAAATTTAATTTTAAACTCTTTTTGCTGATCTTCTAACCATATACAAAAAAGATGTTTGCAAGAAGATTTTATTCTTCTTGACTAATAAAGTCTTTCTACTTTCCTTAAAACAACTTGAAGCTTGTCTTCATAAGTTTTTATTATTCTCCCTTATTTGTTTACAAACTCCTTTGACTAAAAACTTGAACCTCTGATGGCCTAAATAGACTCAAGTACATATTTTCTTTACTAAAAACAAGAAGGTTCTAGGAAGTAAAAGGACCAACTTGTAGAGTGTCTTCTTTTAAAGTTAGATATGACATGAAGATAGAAGTTTTCTAGCAAGGGAAGGTTAATTATCCACCTTCACATATACTGTCTCTTGCCCTCTTAGAGTGTCTACTGTTTTTTTATAGTTTTTTGAAGAATTTTACCTATTCCAGCTTGATTATGAATTTTTGATAGCACAACATCATCTGGCTTCTGATTGGCTGACATGAAACATATTAATAGCAAGATATAAACAAGGTTCCATAGATCATATTCACGTATTTCAATAACGTCATTGATGAAACAAAAGAAAATGAATTAGTACGCAATCCTTCGCTTCTTCAAATGAAGTGTAACTGAATCAAAAAGATTATGAGACCATTAGGATGGGTACTAAATTCCCTAGATGGCAAAAAGGTGATTATTTGTTCAAGTCGAGATTTTCAACTTTGTATTATTCTGGTTAGGCAAAGTTTGCAAAGAAGGTTATTCCCTTATCCCAGTCAAGCGATAAAATCAAAAAGCAGAAGATTGTGAGCCACTACCATTCTCTAGGATTGAAAATGCATTTTTTCAGACATTGTGTAATAATATTGTAATTGATGAGGATCCTCACTACTCTTTTGATACGCTTCCACCATTGTGAAGCAAAAAGATCTTTGGGAAATGACTATTTTGGACAATGGAAAATATACACCAGTAAAATTTCTTTAACTAGGCATGGCTGCTGGAAGATATCAGTAGTTACACAATATGACTGAAAGGTTACATAAGAACCTGGGATCCATTATAAGCTATTAAAATCTGCGTGGGTGAATAAAAAATCAATACCGAAAGAAAAGAAGTGATGAACAAGAAGCTGAATCTGAGTAAGTAATAAGTACCTCAAATGGTTATAAGAAAATAATCAAGATTATGAATGGATAAGTTCTTTAGATAGTTAAGAAGAAGAAAAATATTCCAGAAAAGTTGTTTCTTAATAAGAAGAGGTCTTTTAATAGAGGTCTTTTGAAGGATATGAAGTACTTTCCTTTTTTCTTTTTCCTTTTCTTTTCATGTTTGTGCATTTTTAGATATTTTTCTTTTTTCTTATTGTAGTTTCTAGAAATCAGTTTCTTGGAGGATAATCAGCAATGACAACCTGTTAGTAATAATGGAAAAGTTAAGAAAGTCTTTATCCAAACTAATTCTGAAGTGAAATATTGTCCCAAAGTCACACTTAAAGGCTTGAAGCTCATTTGAGATTTTAAAGTGATGAGTAAGTCAGTATTAGATTTAGTTTAGTCAAGATATATTTGTCCAATGTATCACATATAGTTTTGTTATTTATTATTAATAAACACACTATGCTGGCCTGACTAAGGGATAAAAAAAAAAAAAATAGTATCAAAATTTACATGTCAAATAAAATTTTATTTGTGGCTTGCTAGAGGTTCTTGTCACCATGACTTTAAACATATGCATGCCCTTATTGTTTTATCTAAAAGCTAATTTCTTTTTTCTGTAATTAAATTTTTACTAGTTAAAAAAAATCTGTTTCATAGGTACACTAGTTGCAAGTATTGCTAAGTAATTATATACAATACATGCCAAATGTGAAAATTTCTATTCATTTATTTTTCACCATTTTAAAATATCTATTTTCTTTGTTATTTGAGATAATGAAAAATATAACTATAATTTATTTTGATTTTCTATATATTATTACTTGAATAATTTTATTCTAACTGTATTATATATCTCTTTCATTTTGATGGCTTCTATAGTTCTTGAATTTAATTCTCCATATTCTTGAAAAATATCATCAGTACTAGAAAATAAAAAATATTTAATATTAGCAAGTTATATTACAAAATAAGTATAAATACAATAAATATATTTACTCTTTTTTTATCTTTTCAATTAAATTTCTCCAGCCATTTTCAATAAAGTATTTTATTTTAAATCATGGATCTAAAACAACTGCCAATGTATAAATTTTATTTGTTCTGTTGAGTATTCTAAATTTTATCCCGACATATTTTTG